ACAAAAAGGATAAGACAAATGGCTCCAATGTATTAATTTTATTTATTCACCATTAATATTATTTTGTGACTTTCATATTAGTTATGTATGTAATTTTATTATTTAGGCAGCTAAACTGATTCCTAGTGAAACTCCATCATCAAATAATTTGGTTAACACATTGATGACTATTCCACATCAATCAAATGTGGTTGTAGAGAAGATGACTAAAAACATTAATTCTGTAAATTTTTCAACCGATGATTTGGTAATTAATTATTTTTATTAGTTTTATAATAGTATTGATAAAAAATATTATATCTCAATCATTTAACAAAAATAAACAGATCAAATGTAAATTTTAAAACCTGTATGTAGGATTATGACGTGTAGAATAGTTTTAATCAGAAGGACATAGTTAAATAAAAGAGAATCAGTTTAGGAAAAGTTAGAAATATTATTGGGCCCAAATTTGGACAAGGGATTAAGTAGCAGATTATAGCAAGTATGTAGTGGTACTCGTGGTGTATAGCACAATATTACAGTACAACTTCAGGCTTGAAACTATGGGTTCATTTTTTTTAAAAACATCTAGAATTTTGAAAGATTTTTCTATTCCAACTTCCAAAGTTTATGGGTGAATTTTCATTGAAGTGCAAATTAAACCTTGCCGCTGATTATGTATAAATATTTTACAGTTTTTAAGTATTTTGTTGTGATGTCACATTTTTGTGAATAAAAACCAAAATAATGTATATAAATTAAAAATGAATTTTATTACGATAAATACATGTTTATTTAAATAATCAGTGTAGATATTTAATTGTATTGCTATTTAGTATTAACAATAAATTATTAAAAAAATATTATTCAATAGGATTAAGCAATAATAAATGTAGGTATTCATGTTTAAAGTTTAATGAATACCTATAATCTATATGGCTGTATAAACACGCTATTGAATAGTAGCTAACAATAATTATGATTATACTGTGATGTTGGATATAAGCTTACTTTTATCAATATTTTTCAATATCCTGTAATATGTAAATAATCAGTTAATGCATTGATTAAAATACATATTACAATTTACAATATATAATAGGTATTAGGAATTAGGTACCTACATACTTATAGTAAATAATTCATGTTATTTTTATTTTTGTTTATTTTTTTGTGTTAATGTCAGTATGCCCTAAAGTTAGTGTACATAAACATTAAACATATTATTTGTAAATAATAATCTCAAATAGTCTTCTCAATGTTTTCTATAATTTTAATGTTCTGATATATAAATTAAATTTTTTAGGTATTTAATCAAGTTGAAAATGACTCAGAATTCATAGAAATTGTTGAATCGCAAAACAAAGTTATATCAAACGTTAATGAAACAATATTGCCAACAAAGACAAATAAAACACAGATTTTTGAAGTCAAACAATTATGTGAACTTGATGGAGACCAACTGTATGGAGAATATGTAATAGAAAGGCTTAAAAATATCAAAAGTACAACTATTAAACAACATGTCAAGCTTGAGATAGATTATATATTTTATACCAAAATGAAACAGTTGTCCCAGGAGAATACAGAACCATGAATCCATTCAATGCAACTAGTTTTAAATTCCTGTTTAAATCTTTCTCTACTATAATCTGTAATTTTTGTATAAATACAAGAATTTAATTTATATATGCATAAGTGTTGATTAATACTATATAAATTTAATTTACCATAAAAGTTAAAAAAATATTATTATTACAGGATTTCAATGTAAATGTTGAGTTTTTTTAGGTTTTATAATTACAGTATATTGTCTTTTAATAAAAAAAAAATGGTTACTTATTGTTTTAATTTCTAGTTACTTATTGTTTTATTTCCTTATCGTCTTAATTATTATGACATATTAATGATAGCTTAAAAAAAACACTATTAAGGGAAAAAAAGTGCGCAAGTGGGTGTCGCTCTGCTATAGAGTAGGTTACAAGTGGGTCATTGTAATGGATGGTGTTCAATTTTAATTCAATGATATAATAATATCATTGTATAAGAAAAACGATTCTGAGCGAAGACAGCCAGTCAGCCTATGATTATGATATTACCAAGTATATTTGATGATATTATTGTGAATTAAGTAATTTATATATAACCTTTTTAGGTGGAACCTTGTTTTAAATTTTCAATCCTTAGCTATAAAAGTTGAACATTTTATACATTTTCAACTATACTCTGTACCAAATAAGAGCGCACCGCGTTGGCGCATCCAAATGAATCGCGGAGCGACGTCTGGACCCCCTGGTCGGGTCTATTCGCTCTGTGATTGGTCGTCGATCGTCGGTCGGATTCGCCGCCGTCGACGCCGCCGTGAATACAGGGAGCTGAAGTAATAATGCGTTTCACGCGTATTAATCAGTAAAATAATACACATACTTTTCGTTTTTTTTTTCTTAACATAGGTATTGAACTCAATATAATATTAAAAACATTCAAAATATTCACCAATGCGCGCAAAAAATATAACAACGTCTAACCGCGTATACCGTTAAAATTGGTGTGATAATATACAACACTCTGTATTCAGAGTTGACCTGGCCGGCGCCGGAATACGCTGCGGCAGCGCTCTCTGACATGCGCGAGTTTCGACCGGTTTTCATGCGCCGCCCGGTGCGCTCTTATTTGGTACAGAGTATATACAAAATATTTTGTCAAAATTCAAACTTTAAATGCTTACAAAAAAAAAGTGTGCTTATGTATTTTTAATATTTTTCAACTGCTATTGTAACAATAACATATCAGGACCCTTGCATTAAATTTTCAAGCTTTTTTACCCTCCGAATAATTATTATTTATCATTGACAACAGTAATAACTTAAAACAAATCAAAATATTTTGATAATTTGTTGAAAATTGTATGTGTATAGAAAATTCTAATATAAACAGCCAGTAAAAATTGCATATATCTACAGCCATTTGATTAATAATTTGGAGTTAGGTACACCAAAAACCAAAGTCGATTTTGTCGAAAACTATTGGGAATGTTAAATAGTGTGGTGATTGGGGGGCTTGACCTCGAAAAATGATTGAACATTTTTCAAAGCCCCACTTCTTATTTTGTAAAAAAAGACTAACCCCCCCTAAATTTCAATAAAATCTCTGCTGGGGGAGTATAGAGATAGAAACCTTCCACAGGCTCAACAAGTTTCTCATAGGAAACAAATTATGGAAAATGATACAAGCGACTAAAATTTTCCGTTTTTAGAAGATCAATACTCACTGTATTTTTTTCTCGGAAGATAACATGACGGGGATCGACGACGAGATCGACATTGCAACAATAATCAGGCACGTAAACGGGATTCTTCAAAAAGGGGTGTTTTAATTTAATATAATATTTAAACACAACTATGGGTGGATGGGTGGTGTCGTAACACTCAAAACACCCCTCCTCTCCCCTCATCCAGCTACATGCCTCAGTCAATAGTGATATTTGTACTTATCATTGTTATTTGACGTCATTACAACCATTTAGTCAACATTAATTAAGCCAGCAGACACATAAATGCGTACCTATACATTTTAGGAATTTGGTTTAAATTATGTGAGAATAATATCATTGATAATATATGTATAAAATTAACCAATGGCGATATAAATTATGATATTGTTACAAGTGAGTGATTTTAAAGCTATGCGTGGCCATTACTATAATTTTCAAACGCAAAGAGGATCGCAGGACTGTATTCTTTGATGGCCCACAACCAAGTTCGGTTACCTGGTCCAACACACCTCACCTAGAGATATTAATCCGAGCTTCGATCAGAGTCCTCTACTCCTCTATTCCCGTACAAACCACCACCTGCCTTTGGGGAAAACACGTTTACAAAATTGTCCACGAGCCCGTCTCGACGACTCTACCCCGCGATAATCACATAGGATGTAATAATTTCCTTCGCGAAAACACGCAAGTCGTATTGGCGGAAATCCATTACGAACAAACACCAATCCAACTCATCCACCCACCCCCTCCCCACCAAAAAAAAATAATAATAATAAAATAACTTTTAGGTTTATAATTGAGCAGTATAACTAAAAAATAAGAATTTAATAAATAATTGCTGTTGTAACGTGCCAACCACTTCAACTCAGTTTTGATTGTATTTTGAATACCTAAGTAATAAGTTGAAGGTATAATTATAGCTTATTTGTATTTATTTAACACGTAAAATAGACTAAGTCCAAATAATTAATTTATAATAATGTGGTAAACGAGATGTGACTTAGTATCGACTTGGTGGCAGCTCTGCTGCAGGTGTTCGTCTGCTCGGTTGGTGTTCGTCTGATGGACACTTGTCCATCGACGTATTTCGTCGGTATTCCTAATAGATCCATCCTATGGCATTTTTAGTATAAAAATGGTACACACGCCGCTCCGCCTGAGGTCATTTCTGACGTCTTTTATGAAAAAATGTTAATTACGGATTATATTATGTTTCCTAATCTATTTGTACTTTTATGGCCTTTTCGTCTTTCCTAGAATATGGATATTGCGCATTTGCGCACGTATACCTATCACGTGTTCGCGCTGTACCATTGATTAGTTCTTATTGATATGGCCGCTCGGATGCTGATATTATTACTATTATCGGGATTACGTGCTCCCTGCAGCATTTATGTCTATTATTGAGTATAATATATATATTATAATCGTATTTTACCTAATACAATATAATATAATATATTATTACTATTATTAATATATACGTAGTCACAGCTCGTTACACTGTACCCATAACATATGTTAAACAATTTAGATAAATTCGGATTTACAAGAATTATAAACATCTTGTTGCCACTTGCCAAGTGCATAAGTACTTGGAAAATCAATAATTCGTGTCGGTGTTACAGTTATTACTTATCATTTGTTACGAAAATCACGAATAATTTGCTAATACCTACGGTATAAAAGTTAAATCTAATTTTCGTATACTATATTTAATCCACGTACATCATCAAATATCAATATGTCAAATATTGCCGCTCCAGACAAGAAGTCGTCAGATATCAAGTTGCTATCCAAGACTGAAACGATGCAAATGGTTTTTGACGATCTTCGGTCGAATAGACCAAAACCGCTCGAGAGTCACAACTCTAGATTGCAGCTGCACAAGAGATCTATGTCTTTACCTAATACGGACTCGTTGACAATTCCGCGGCCGATGCACCTACAGAGGTCTGTTGGAAATCTACGTCCGATTTGATGGTACCGGCTGACGACGATCACATGTCAAATAATATGCTGAAACTGTCGGAAAGCAGCGATGTCCATAGTTTTCCGGTGCAACTCAAGATATATATGTCTATATCTATGTCTCTATCTAATATGGCCGTGCGTGAAAATTCTTCGGGCGATGCTCCCGAAATTGGATTGTCGTTCGTTACGTCCGCGGAGTTGTCCCCTTTCGACGGATTCGCTATCACGTGCCGAATCGCGTCTGTTTTGGCATTGATGCCACCAGCTACCACTGCAGAAGATGACTGCTGGATCGAGACGCCGTTATCCGTCTCGTCGCCGTTGCCGCAGGTAGAAGCCGGGGTAACGGATACGGTAACCAGCAGTGGTCCAAGTGACGCGGGGACGGACCTGGCGGTAACCTCGGTCAAGCCTAGACGTCCACGCCGTTCACATTGGAACCGGACGAAGCGGTTCGTCGGGCTTATGTTCTGTTGTGGTGCGATCGACCTCGCAGACGAATATAGTTTATGATGTGGTTTTATTACGATAGTATTTGGTCACCAAAACCCGCTCCCCTCCCTACACCGTTAAAGCTCTCGTGTCTTCCATGTGACCATGTTGCACCTTTTGTATCCGGCTGGACGCTTGTCGTTTTCGACGGCGCCCGGAAAATCCGTCTGAATCCGTTTGCGTCCGCGATGCTGAGCGTTTGCATCAAGTCAGGGCAAGTTTCCCACGCGTGCTTAATTTACTGTGCCGCCGCCGGCTCTTCGCCGCGTGTTTGGCTTTTCCGCGTCGAGGTAGTCTTATTTTCGAGCGTTTACCTGCAGATTAGTCATACGCGCTGTATAATATTCACTTTGTTTTTTCGCCCTAGCGATGTACTCGATCTCGCTGTAACACCCCGTAAATAATTATAAATTATGGCTGTATGCTGCCGTAATAATGTATCATAACATGTAAAATGTAAATTGTTTATTATATAAAATGTATATATTGTAACTGTAAATTTACTTGAATAAATTTGTGAATTATGTTACGTGTATAATATTTGGTTTTTATTTGATAATATTGTTAATAAATATGTCAACACACTGGTGTAAAATTAATTAATGCGGCTTGTGGAAATTCTAATTTCTAGGTATTTTGTTCGGGTATAGGTACTCAAGGTTTTTTTTAACCATAGTGTAAAATCTCACGAGCAACTTTGTATTAAATTATCTAGCTTTAAGACCAAAGAACAAAAAGTGTTATCAACAGGGAACCTACGTCGAAAAAAACCCAAAACACTGCCATAACATGGAAAGAATGATATGTGTAATATTGATCCCCGTGGTTTTGCAGCAACTCTCCAAATTGCTTAATAATTATTAAATTTACATTTGTCTCTAGTTTGTTTTGTTTTAGAATATGGTTTGTCATTTACATTTCTCGTCAATCTTGCTCAGTGGCGTTCATTCAGATTGTATTTTTATCAATATTATGACAATTATGTATGGACTATGATGGTTTAAACCACCTACCTAATAACCTGCTATTTTTTATTTTAGTTTATTTATATATTACCTACATTAAGCTTATTCATTTCTTAAAGTAAAGACTATATTTATATTCGGTTGTACCATATACGTAAGACTGTAGATACCGACTGTAGGTATACCATTATATAAAAACAAAATATGTATTTTTGTATTAATATAATATTATGTATTATTATTTATTGTGCAAATGCTCTGTATACCGACTAGACTTTGTATACGATTTTGTTATTTAATATCCAAGGGTAATAATAATTGGTAAATTTTCCTTCAGCGAGTTAACGTGTGCCGTTGATATTATAACTATTCTATTCGTTCGATTGGGACTATATATAGTCACTATAGTCACTTTGTAATTTATATGCAACAACAAATAAACAAATAAGTACAAATTTCAATAAATAGTGTAGGAGGTACCTATTATAGTTGTGCGTTGCGTCGCCACAAATAATTGCGCTAGTGATACAAAATACAATATGTTCTTTGTTTGTGCAGTCTATAATTATTTATTTATTGTATATAGCTCGAACAGCTCATCTTTTCCTTGCGGACTACGAAGCAATCTCGTCAAATAATACTTTATAATAATAATAATATTAATTATAATTTATACCAGAGGTCTCCAACCTACGGGGGTTCAACGCCCCCCCTCCCCTAAAATTAATGCTAGTATAATTTATTTATATATATAGACTATAAACCCCCCGAAAACTACTATGACCCCCTCCCAAATTACAGCCATACGCGATTATAAGTGATACCCAATTCGAGCCCGGTTATTTTTTGAGGAAAAAAATTTTATTTAAATTTTACAAACCGAACCCAGCAAGTTTTTATTTTAACAAAAAAAATTTCCCTTAAAAGTCTGATGAGTGAGCCGGTAATCCTAACTTATTTTACAAACATTGTTTGTTTAAATCTTCATAATAAAACCAGGTCACAATTTACACCCTAAAATGTAGCAGTTTATAATACGTAATACGTATACTAAATCAGTGGCGCCGAACTAATTTTTTCTAGGTGTGGCAATGAACAATTACTCATACCCACCTACCTTTTTAAAAATTTAAAAATGTGTTTATTGCTATTGTCAATTTAGATTTGATTTGAAAAAACATCAATATTAATCTCAAATTACTATACTATTATACATTTTACTACATTTAAACCGAATATTATTATTATAAAGAAACATAATAATATAGTGTTTTTTTTTTTTTTTGACTTTGCTGACTAGCAGATAAAAAGGTGCAAACACTATTTTCGTCTCAGCCAATTGAAGTCCTTGGGTAAATAACTAGGAGGTTATAGTATCATTTTTTTAAGACTTCAAACTGCATGGTTATTAGTTGGTTTTTACTGTGGACAATATTCCACACCATTATTTTTAACTTACTTAATTCACTATGTCATGCGAGTGGTTAAAAAATAAATCAAAAATGAACTTCGTTTTTTTGACACTCGGCAACCTCATTTGGTTTGTGTGAGGGATACGGTTGGTAGTTTGCAGTATGCTTTTTTTATATGAGGCAGGTAGATCGTCACAAAGAACCCGGGTGGTCACCCATCCGGGAGCCTGCTCGACCGCTGCACACATTACTATATTAGTGAATGTGTTCAATCACCGCACTTCACCAGGTCACCATACAATGAATTCTAATACCAACCACGTTAAATGGTATACATTATAATATGTTTATATATTTATCAGTTTAAATTCTTGCCAAATGTATTAGGTAGGTACATGTAACATTTGGTATATCAACAAATTGTATACAATATTACAATCCTCAATATAGCAATAGTACTGAGTAGTAAAATATATAATAGTATATACTATATAGTATATATAGATTAATGTAAATTTAATTATTTGTTTGTCGTTGCCACATCGATAAAATCAAATATTTAAGTAACTTGATCGTCATATTTAAAAGGTGATTTTGAAAGGATTTAATATAGATACTTGTATATTTTAGTCTTTAGAAAATTAAGGTTTCAGAAATATAGCAAAAATATATTGGAATAGGTACCTACGTTATGTTATTTGGTATTATCAAGATTTAAACAGTTAGGTAACCTAACTATTAATTAATCATAGTAATAATTAACTGGGTACCTACTGTTATGAACGCCACTGCGTATGCCTGTGATGTTCTGTTATATTTTATAATTGTGTCCCTGGTTGTATCCGAAGACGACAATTTGTTGAAACCGTTCTCTGTGTAGCGGGTGATAATCAAATGTTGTTTAATAGTTTATTAATAAAAAGAATACACGTTTTAGATTTATATGAGAATATTATACTTTATTAGTTTTAAAAAATATGATTTATACTACAAGCTCACTACTTAGCTCGAATGAGTCGAGTTCTAGACTGAATTGCCGACAGGACCGATACTACAGTCTTGTCGCGTATTAGTAAAATATCTAAGATAAGACGCCTACATACAGGCGTTATTATATTCTGTAAAACAAGCGTCTCTATAGTCTCTATAGTGGTGGGCATATAACACCCCCCGGGTTAGACGGAAGATCATTATCCTACTTTTAAACAATTATTTTGGGTAATGATTTTCCTTTTCTTATTTTAAGTTCATCTTGGTTTTGTTTATTTTGTTCCGTCGAACTCGGTTGGTTTACATTGACATTTTTAATTTTCTTAAAATTAAATATTTTTTTTATTGTGATAATTGACATAATAATTATTAGTAAACAACATAGTATTATTAAACCAATAACATAATAGTTTATATAAATTGAAGATTGCTTATAATCTAAATTATCTTTTGGGATAGTGACTTCATTATCATCTTTATACTTTGAAAATACTACTTCTGGGGATACATATTCTTTTATTGTGTTAACATTATGTATATATTTAGTTAAATTCATAGTTGGTATGAAATCTGATTTTAATTCTGAATAAATTGTTCTAAACGGAATCATGCGATAACCTCCTGAAATTGCGGAACATTGTTCGCTTAAAGATAATATTCCTGATCCAGTTAATACTTCTGTTATTGAATCTTTATTGAAACACGTTAAAATTACATTTTGGTTTGTTACCGTGAAAATCCACGAGTTTGAAGACATAAGTTTATGAAAAATCCCATGTTTAAATGAAGTGTATTTTATTTTACAAAAATCTGCTAATTCTGTAATATCTGAGTAAGAAATTAAATTTATTTCACATTCGTTTGATGTCACTACCCTTTTGGCTTAAAAGTTTTTACAAATTTTAAAACGGTTTGTATCAGTACACAAACTAACATCATTTTCGCTTAAGTTAATAAAATATTCCTGATCAATAGTTATGGCTATAAACTTAAACCTAGGTTGTATAAACATAAATCTATTATTTTCTAAATATACCGGGTTTGGTAGAACATTATATAGTTTATACATGTTACTTAATACTAAAGGAATCGTATTGATAAATATAATTAAATCATTACTTTTAACGATTGTAGTCTGCATTATTCTATACAGTTCAGACATACCAGATACATCTAATTTTACAGGAATGTTTAAGTCAGGTGAAAGATTTAATTTTATCAATTTAATTTTATCTAATAATTGATTTGATGATATTACTAAAGGGTGTAACTTCCCATACATAGCCGAATGTAAGATTTGAATAATTTTTCCTATTTCTAAAGCATATTGGTTATATATTAATTTTAGATTTAAAATTTGATTTTCCAATATAATTTTGATATTTTCATCATTAAACTTTTCTCGTTCTGATAAAATAAATCGGCGAATTTGTCTTATGTTATTTTGTATTTCCGTCGTTGCGTCTATACTTGGTTTATTGATCATTATTGCATCATTAGTGTTCGCAGGAGTAATTATTAATTTACTTTCTGCTAAATTTTGAGATTTCTGTCCATTTTTTATCATTGTTCTGATATTTGAGTATAATTTATAAACATCGTCTATTTTTATAGACCCGAACAGAGTATATATCATTTCTTTTATACTGCTGGC